TAAAGTCCATCTTTTTCTCGTTGAACATCTGTGGGACTTAGTGGAAGATAGGGTTTAGAATGACCAAGAAAGTCCCTTTCAACTACGGGTTATCTTGTTGACAAGGTTGAAAAATATTCCTATTTGTAAGAAACACACTCAGCTGAACTCCATGTAAAGGAGAAATAAGACACTGACAGATGCGCAGATTAATGATAATAAGACTTTTCAATTTTCACTTTTGGGGGTATCGTCATATCAGTTTCAATAACTTACGAATTATGAGGCAAAGTCAAATCAAATTTTGGTTACATTTTTATTAAAGATGATTTTAAACCTTACATAGGAATAGCAGACAATACAATAGGAAATATAAAATTATTTCACCTCTAAAGTTTACCCTGCGTTTCTATTTCTTTTCCGTATATTTCAGCACCATATAAAAAGCGCGATATTTTATTTCGGTAGTGAAGCTTCTCGTGAAATTACACGACAATTAATTCCTCGAATATAATTAGGAATCGATCCACAGAAATATGAGATAATGTTTCATGATGAAATTAAATTTTACTGTTTATGAAATAGATAAATGTGAAGAAGAGAAAAACAGATTAAGGATAAATAACACAAACAAACTTTTTTTAGAAATCAACATTATTTTTCATAGATTTACATTTAAATTGACAACCTGAATAATATTTACCAAGTACAGTGGGAGAATTATATAAGATTTTGTCATAAGGTTAAAAAATTGTGCAAAATTTTATATGGAATTATATAGAAGGCAAAACAAAATCTCGTATATAAGCACCAAGGAAAACCTACGATTTCTTTATATTTCAGGGATTTATTATTTATGTTATTTCAAATCAAAATCAGTCAAAAAATATGTATCAATCTGCGCATCCATTTTTTCTTTGTGGTAAGTACCCTTAAGCATCCAGTTGGCAGAGGCACAAAAACCTGGTCAGTATTTGAATTTTATAATCTCTTAAAAGTACCCGAGAAGTGTGCATTTGTAAAATCAGAGATTGAAGTTAAATTAATAATTCAATGGCATTTTTTCTATTCAAAAACAAAGGACCATAATAATTTGTGAGTCAGAGAACGGTGAAATCCCTTGTGAGAACTCCACAAGACTAAAAATAAAATCCGCCATGTTTGGTCGCATCGAAGCTGTTGTGTGTCCTGGCACGTATGACGGCAATACTAACTGTCGCTTAGATGTACAGGGCCTGTTATCAGGCAAATGTGATGATACAACTAGCTGCTCTGCTCAATTTAGAGGAAGACTTAGGCGGATCGGACCCTTGTTTTGGTACTTACAAATACGTTGAAGTTACTTACACTTGTTCTTAGATATTGAACCATAATGTGTAAAACAGTAAATAAAATATCTCTAAATAAAATACTTTTTTGTCATATAATTACAATTTTTCATTTTGTTTAATTTTTTATTCCCTTTTATATAAGAAATATATCTGAATTATGACCACAATTTTTTGCTTTAAAATTCAAATTTGTCTCGAGAATCATTGACCATATAAATAGTATCACTGTCTACGTATACAGAATCAGGGTATATGATTCAAAATTCTTCAATATATCCAAAAATGAAAATGGGCGATGCGATGGACGCTATTATATAAGGGAAAATTACCCTTGAAATGTGTCATTTTGAAATTTTCCTGTTTTAAATAGAGAAATGCATCCAATCACTGACGTCATATTTCCGGAATGGTACTCCTTTTATGCCATATTCTTTCATGATCTATCACAGTCATTAACTCAACTAATATTTGAGACAGTTTCAAAATTTTGTAAACAATTCATTTTTAAGGGCACAATAAAGCTAGAACAATACCATCTTCTAGTGGTTATCCAACTTATACTCATTGTAAAGTAAAAGATGGAAAATATTCAAGTTCATCGACACCTCTCTAATTTAAAAAGTAACAAATGAATTAAATGACAGACCATATAAAGTATCGCACGTACATTTACATGTAAGTTGTTTATCCTCTTTATTAAATATCACATCAAACAGAACAAATGACTACCGGTATTATACATTGTCAATGAACCGGAAAGGGGGCGGGGGGCTGCATCACTGACGCAGATCTGCACAATGTGTATATCATGCACGGCCTAATAAAAGTTAGAGTTCAATGCACAAAAGAAGTTCTTTTGCAAGGAAAATTTACGTTACACGTATTAATTTTAACATTTTTAAGAGTCAAAGAGAACCAGTAATGAACTTATGTATATTCTCTCGCACAGCACGATTTTTCATACATGTAGAACCTTCTGGTTATTGAACTGTTATAACATATTTACAGGCTTAATTGAGGAATGCTTAAAAGATTTCATCTCTTTCTGTATTATGCATACTTGTCATTGAAAAAGATTTCATTTTAACAACGATCGGAATTCAAATGTACACCCTTCAATTAATCAATTAAGTATGTATAATGCTGACAATCTATAAACTTACCCAAAGCAATTTACTCAAACAATATGTACATATAGTGTTAATGAAGGGCCGGATTGGGGGGTATTTTCCTGGTAATGTATAAGAAATTTAGAAATAGAAGTTAATAAACTAGAAACACATTTTCTTCACTGTTATGAATGCAGTAAATTTTGCATGCACAGAATTGCGATGTACATTTTGTATACGCATTTAGCTCATTAATAGCTTAATCATTTTTTTATGATTGACAGTCGGTACTATAATTATTGATCTTAACTTGGGTAGATTTTTGCGGCGTTGACATAAAATCGTCAAACACTAAATACTGTACCGCCATGAAAGCATAAAATTTACACATAGTTTATCAAATTCTTAAACTACATTTTTATAGATATTAATTTTTTCCTGCTTACCAGAGGGAGTGGGTGTATAAGAAAGCCTAAAATCTGTGGATGGAAAACGTTATTTATGTGCACCAAGACATTCTTGTTAATATGTTTAGAAAACTTGATGTAAAATTTTAATTAAATTCAAACATTAACGTAGATTTCCTAAATCAGAATATATCTGCGTATCAAAATATCATCATCTTTTTAGTTGTGGAAAACTTGTGACACGTGCGGACAGGTGCCCTAGACTACGAGGGTCATCGTAATGATTGAAACCTACCTAATTAATTTGCGATGATTTTAATTCATATTTCGATAAAATAAACTTCTCTATATCAATTTCTATTTAATGTCATAATACAATTTTGCTGAAAGTAGAATATTAAAATTTTCAGTTAGTTTGATTTAACTTTATTTTGCAGAATACACAGAGCTAGAATTACATTAGCTGACAAATTAAGACTAAAGTTCATAGGAAATTTAAGTCAAATCTTTTGATATCTTTTTCAAAATATGCATTGTCAAGAAAATGATTTTAAACCAATTAAAACATATAATAAATTATATGTTTCTGAAAATGGAAACTAGACGGAACTTTGATTCTGTAATTAAATTCTTATTTAAGAAGCGACAGCTTGATTATTACATTCACAGGAACCTAGGAGACACCATATAGTATGTCAATATTTCAAAGAAAATTATATGGAAATACATTGTTCTAATGTCATGTTCCAAATGTTTGTCTGCATGTTCCCTGGAAAACCTGCTGGCATTTTTTACCGTATATCATAAACATATGTGGTAATTATAACTGTCAAGTTTTGATCGTTAAAAAACAAATACAACACAGTTAAAATTTATTTAGTTATTATAGCATAATATTAGATAAATGCTTTGTACCAGCTTAGCTTAAAAAGAAGACTACAGAAACTCTTTTTTTCTCCAGAAAATGAAATTACGAGTAAAAATAGGAGATACTTGGAAATACAATTTTAGGAGATACTTGGAAATACAATTTTAACACAAAATGAGAATAGATTCTAATAATGTCGACACACACCATATCAAATAGATGAGCATATCAAGTATTTTCAATTCATGCATGAGTCTTTATAAAGAAATCATGGCTAGTATATACATTAACAATTCTATTTTTAATAAAAATAATACTTAGTGTAGCAACATTTATTGTTACTGACAATAATTACAAACACGACAAATGCATGCAAACGGTTTTTTAAATTATTATGAGACTTGAGAAAATAAAAATAAAATGGAAGATATGCACTAAAATTATATACTAAGCCATTGAATATTAACTAGGGTTGGAGGTTCAGTAAATCAAAGATAAAAGAAATACTATAAGGAAGATATGGTTCAAAAACAATTAATTGTCTGCCCACTCTTTACCTTATTTTATTGTCAAATAATTGTGTTTTGAAAACCTCAGTGCCTCTCATTATGTCCACAGTAGCCTCAGTTAAAACCTCAGTATCACACAGTATCAGCTCAGTTCCCTCAGACGAACCTCAGTGCCCCTCAGTACTTCCACAGTAGCAACAGTTCTAACCTCAGTGCTCCTGAGTAGCACAACAGAATGCACAGTAAAAACCTCAGTGCATCTCAGGACTACCTCAGATTCTCAGTAGTAGCCTCAGTACAACTCAGGTTTTCCTCAGTACAACTCAGTACTTCCTCAGGGTTTTGTTGGATTCTCAGGGTTTATTTAATACAGTAGTGGTAAAATTTTACACAAACAAGCAACAGCAACAGAATGTACAAAATAACTCAATTGGAATAATATTCTGAGAGAATGTGCAATCGATAAAAAGATTCCAGGGTTACCTTTAGAACTTTATCTGATAAATTATGTAAGTTTGGGCACTATATTTATCAACAAGTGCACGCATCATATCAGAAAACGATGTCCCATGATATTGTTATGTTCGAAATTGATAAATTCAAGTGAATAATGAACATATTTTGGGTTGTTAAATTGCTTTTAATGTATATTTATACAGACACTAAACAAAATGAGATATTTGATATACATTAATCTACTGGTACTAACCAGATTGCGAAATCACATTACCGTGTAAAAGCGAATGTACCATGATACACGAAATCATGTTATATAAGAAACTTATTTTATTGCACAAGAATCTTTTGAAGCCTTAATAAAAGCAGAAGATTCACAAAGTATTAGACAGTTCAAATCAATGACAAGACATATACAATTTTCTAAAAGCTCTGAAAGTATGGCTGTCGATTCATATCCAATACCGATTACACAAGATCATCCAGAGTATTTCGTCTCCTTCTTTTACCATACATTCCTCCTGTATAAAAAAAATAAAACATTAAATTGTGTCTTCTGTGGTAGTTTTTACAGAGGAAGGATATGGAGATAATAAACGGTATTCAACATCGAAGTCCATAAAAAAAGAATTATGATACAGTGCACGTTGTTAAAAAAAGATTTTGATAAAGTTGTATGGAAGTCTAAGTTATATAATGATACATTCTAATAGATTTAAGATGTATCTGTATACAAGTATTCTTTTTATAATAACATTTTTTTCTCGAGCTAAATTAATGACAATTTACTTTAAATAACAAACTGATCGAATTTACCATATACTACTGTCATTAAATAATACAAATTTATATATAAATTCTCGATATATATTTTTAATATACTTTTGATCTGCATGTAACTTCCGATTCATAGAATACAAATTTAAATGTCAGGTAAATCTTTTCTGTATGTTTCAGTAAAGAATGTTGCAAAATTACTAATTTTATATTTCAAAGCATTAAAGACTTTCTTTCTCTTATTAATTTTCTCTTCCTTCTCTATGTATATTCTAATTTTAGAAATTTTGAAATATAACGTAACTTCGTTCATAAAATTTATAAAACTATGTTCTCATGGAAATAAATAGTCATGGAAAATTTTTTTACGCAAATGTTAACTTAATGTTAATCTTGTCAAAAGACTATGTACATGCAAATGATACCGTAATTTCCTACTTTAACTTCTGAGATCATTATTTCCTTGTGCACGCCTGTCTATTACATATCATCCATACTCTTGCCGGACCACCGCAGTCGGTCCCTCCATTTTGTGGGGAAGGGTTATTACAACTTCTGCTGATATGTTTATTTCCACCACCACAGGGTCTTGAGCAGGTTGACCAGGGTCCCCACGGGCCCCATCCACCATTAACTGTAAAAATGAGATATATAGCAAAATGTCGGTTGAAAGCAGATCCTAATAAACCAAGAACATGTATATAACAAAAGAAGATACAGTGGACAAAATAAGTTAAGGATCATAATTTGTACATTATTTAATTTTCAGCGAATAACAATACATTCCATTATAACTATACAATATAAATCTTTGACAAGTAAACAAGCGCTTTTTATTGTGTTGATCAAACATTGAATTAATGTGCATTAATATTGGGATTAATTGTCACACAACCCTCAAATCAGAATACGAACAATCTTGGTAAAGGATGGACATTTCACATGTAACCGTTTGCGAAAGTTTTGATGTGTTTAATATGCTGTATGACCACCCGTGCTTGAACAGCTGCGCCACGACGCCTCTACATATTGTGGGTTAGTGTTCGGAAGGAGATTTGCCTAAATCAAGCCCATTCCTCGATGAGTACTACTGAGAGCGCCTCACGGTTCCTATGGATTACTGGGTGCGCTAAAATTACTTGCTGTATCTTTTCCCAAGAATGTTCTAACGGATTCAAATCAGGCGAAAGACTTGGTCAGTCCATTCGTTTAATGGTTTTATTTTCCATGTAGTCTGTTACTATGCAAACCCTGTTATCGCTATTATTGATTGTTTGATTGATTGTATATTGTTTAACGTCCCTCTCAAATTTTTCACTAATATGGAGAGGTCACCGTATGCTGGTGAAGAGCCTCAAATGTTGACGTTTACTCGGCACTCTGGGCCATTTGAGCAGTGAGGGATCTTTATCGTGCCAATGCCTGCCGCTGACACGGGGCCTCGGTTTTTAAGGTCTCATCCGAAGGACACGCAACATTCACTTCAAAGTACAGAGCGCATGGCGAACGAAACGTTGCTACCCATTTTTTATCGACTTAAGTCAGTGGCTGCCGAGATTCGAACTCACGACATCCCGATCACAGAGCGAGCGCTCTACCAACTGAGCTACCGTGAACGGTGTAATTGCTATCACAATAAAATCTCCACCGATAGCACTTGCATAGGGCCTGACAGTAGGGTACAGAATCTCATTTTGGTATGTTATCTTATGAGATTTCTTGTAAAATACAAGTCGGTTTTTACCGGTTCTACTAATACCACCGCAAACCATCACAGAGCCACCCCAAAACGATCATGCTCAACAACACACTCTAACTCTACGACCGTCATGAAATTCTACATAAAAGTGCCACTCATCTGTAAACAGAACAGGGTTCCAGTGACGCAGTTGCCTATTGCCATGGTTTCATGCTAATAACGAGCTTCAAGGATAATAGTTTTTGACATGTAGATATGTATTGTTTTTTTTTATATTTTTTTTAACGTTTTTGCTGTTATTGTTTCTTCAAATATATTTCACAATCTCTTCTACATGTAAATGTCTCTTAGTTTAAGAATCACTTGAATAAAAAAAGGAATAAAGTACACTCTATGTTTGATAACTAGAAAACAAGGTCAAAATTGTAACGAAAAAAGTTTTTAATACAGGTAGAACTGATTAAGTTTACAGTGTTTCAGTTTCTAGCTACCAGGGAATCATCAATGTTTGTGGAGTTTGGTGCTTACCCTAACAACACAATTTTTTAACAGAAATTCGTTTCTTTCATAAACACATTGAGAAAGAAAATCTTAATCTAGTGTATGAACGTGAAACACAGGAATGCACACCCATCTTAACAGTTATCGATCAAAGAGAGACCAGAACCGTTTGTTTGAAATGAAAGTAAAGATGTAGCAGGCGAACACGTTGCTATCTATTCAACGATTTATCAGTTGTTTGTTGTATGATGCAATGTGAACATTAAAGTAAATTCTCAGTGTGTAATCACACAGACTTGCATTTCCCAGCTGCAGGTAGACATATTTTTCTAGCGTGCTAAATAAAGTATGCCTACGTTACAAATTTGTGTGCGTTACACTACAATTAATACTTAAATTACCGCACCACAACGTCTCTGCATACTGTGGGTAAGTCGTCAGAAGAAGATTTGCCTAAATCAAGCCCATTCCTCGATGAGCACTACTGAAAAGCGCCTCACGGTTCCTATAGATTACTGGGTGTGCTAAAATAAGTTGAATGTTCTACCGGATTCAAATCAGGCAAAAGACTTGATCAGTCCATTCGTTTAGTGGTTTCATTTTCCAGGTAGTCTGTTGTGATGCAAGCCCTGTGAGATCTACAATTATCGTCTATTACAATAAAGTCATCACCGATAGCACCTGCTTACCTTCTGACAATAGGGTATAGTATCTCATCTCAGTATTTTATCTTGAAAAATTTCCTGTCAGATAACGTACAAGTCAGTTTTTTCTGGTTATACTGATACCACACCAAACCATCAAAGAGCCACCCCAAAACGATATTGCTCAGCAATACAGCATAACGTTCACCGTTCGTACGCCAAACTCTAGTCAATTTAATGACGCAGTTGCCTATTGCCATGGTTTCATGCTAATAACGTGGTTCAAGGGTGATAGCTTTTGACATGTGGATATATGTTGCTTTTTAACTATTTTGCTGGTATTTTTTCTTCAATCATATTTCACAATCTCTTATAAATGGGTACCTGTAAAGTGCGAAACGAAATAGAAACGAAACGAAACGAAATCTGCCGAAACGAAACGAAATCTACCGAAACGAAACGAAACCTACCGAAACGAAACGAAATCAAAACTTTCAGGTTCAAGCACGACAGGCAATTGTTTCGCTTCAAGCTCATACATAGGCGTTGGAAGGAAATTGAAAATGTGTGTGTGTGGGAGGGGGGTAACAAACATAAAAGGTAAACCCCAATTTTCAATGCCTATATAATAAAATATAATATATCTTTGCAAAAAAAATTGGAGGGGGGGGGGCTAACCCAACCAACCCCCAACCCGCTTCCGACGCCTATGTCATATTTTGTTAATATCTTACTGAATAATTTACCTACTGAAAAGTGACATCGTTCGCTTCGAGAGACTTTTTTTCTTGTCAGTTTAATCGTTAAAGACGTCTCTTATCGAGCCTCTTTATTGCAAACCACTCATTTCTTCCTCGAAAATTACCTCGATAAAAATAGGACCGTATGTACGTAGAAAGGATACACAAGATTCCGGTTGGAGTTACCGGTACATGTATAATTGATCGGAAAAACCAGACACCTCGGAATGGAATACTAAATACTTTAAGTTTCTGGTTTATCCTATGTTTTAAGACATTCGCAATACAACAGTACAGTGACTTTATTTCGACCCATACATAAACGAGCCTTTACATGTAACACATCAATTTTGATAGATGTGTTGTATCTAGATGAATAAGGACTGAAATAAGAGTTAAGATATAAAAATTATTGAAATTAAACATGCATAGAACGCTGGTGCATATTTGTAGCTGGCAAACATGTAAATACATATTAGACTAAGAAGGAAGCATAATCGATAATTAAATTAAATTTTATATATACAAGTGCTTAAACTACGTATATTAATTTTATTTGAAGTAAAAAAAAGTCCACATGCAGTTGCATATATATAATTATATACATGTACTTTGCTTTAAAAAAACAAGCAAAACATTTGGATAGTCTTGTTTCGTTTCGTTTCGACAGGTTTCGTTTTGATTTCGTTTAGTTTTGTCTTGATTTCGTTTCGTTTCGGTAGGTTTCGTTTCGTTTCGGTAGATTTCGTTTCGTTTCGGCAGATTTCGTTTCGTTTCAGTGCGTGTCGTTTCTATTTCGTTTCGCACTTTACAGGTACCCCTTATAAATGTCTTATAACTCAAGAATAACGTAAATTTCAAAGAAAAAAATATACACTTTGTGTATGATAACTAGAAAACAAGGTCAAATTTGTAACGATAAATAATTTTTATTACAGGTAAAACTGATTAAGTTTACCGGCTTTTCAATTTTTAGCTACCGTAGAATCATCAATTTTCGTCGGTAACAATTGTTTCTGCTTACACTTACAAAGCAATTTTAAAACATAAATTCGTTTATGTTAAAAACACATTGATAACGAAAATCTAAATCTAATTAATGAACGTGAAACACACGAATACACAGCCATCTAAACAATTAAATTATCATTAGAATAAGAAAATATTATTTCCTAGTTAAGATTTTGATATCATTATTCCTGTAAATTACCTGTGAATATTTGTATATTACAGCTTGTAGATTCTTTGGATGATACATTGCAGTTGGTTTCCCCATCATTTGGGAAAGGGTTAAAATTGAAATATGAAAAAATTCCTATTTCAACTTCTGAGATCATTACTCTATAAATTACCTGGGCATCCTTGGGTATTACAGGGTACCGTTTCTTCCGATTCTTCGCTGCAGTCAGCCCCTCCGTATTGTGGGGAAGGGTTGGTACAACTTCTCTCTCTAGACTTGCCCCCGGAACCACATGTTAGTGAGCAGGTTGACCACTCTCCCCACGAGCTCCAACCACCATCAACCGCTGTAAAGATTAGATATTTTGTTGCATAATTATTTTCGTATCCGCATCTACTTGATTTGATAAATCACTAAATGTCCCTGGTTTTTTTTTATATGATAATATCTTATGCATATAAATATTGGCAAAATCTAACTCATATATTCTAAGTACATGTATAATTCATCGGAAAAACCAAACACCTTGGAATGGAATACTAAATACTTTAAGTTTCTGGTTTATCCTATGTTTTAAGACATTCGCAATACAACAGTACAGTGACTTTATTTCGACCCGTACACAAACGAGCCTTTACATGTAACACATCAATTTTGATAGATGTGTTGTATCTAGATGAATAAGGACTGAAATAAGAGTGAGATATAAAAAATATTGAAATTAAACATGCATAGTACGCTCTTGCATATTTGTAGCTGGCAAACATGTAAATACATCATTAGACTGAGAAGGGAGCATAATCGATAATTAAATTAAATTTTGTATATTAACAAGTGCTTAAACTACGTATATAAATTTTATTTGAAGTAAAGAAAAGTCCACATGCAGTTACATATATATAATTATAAACATGTACCTTGCTTTAAAAACAACAAGCAAAACATTTGGATAGTTTTGTTTCGTTTCGTTTCGGCAGGTTTCGTTTTGATTTCGTTTTGTTTTGTCTTGATTTCGTTTCGTTTCGGTAGGTTTCGTTTCGTTTCGGTAGATTTCGGTTCGTTTCGGCAGATGTCGTTTCGTATCGGCAGATGTCGTTTCGTTTCAGTTCGTTTCGTTTCTATTTCGTTTCGCACTTTACAGGTACCCCTTATAAACACGCAGTACAGTTAAGGCAACACAGAAAAAATGGTAATGAGGTCATAATGAGGTCTGACGTCATGACAGTTGCTCCGCCCTGATTGAACCATATAAGGAAATAGAGCTCAAAATAACTATTTACCGGTGTTTGCAAGAATTTGTAATAAACGGCAATATTTTCATGTTTAAATAAAAAGTAATTAGTGATTTTCTCGTATATAAAATATGTCTTTAAAATAATTCTCTTTTTAATGTGTCGTTTGGCTGCTTTCGGCTTCAGCCAAGCGCTTGCACTCGATGACATGGAATTGAATGTTGTTTACACGCAGTTATGACAAGGCTGTCCGAAGGTTTAAAATGTCTAAAAAATATACATTTCATTTTGAGCTAGATTTTAATTTCAGTATGTTATCCTTGTTTGAAATTGCAGTCAACTTGAGATAACAGTTTAATCAGGTATTATAAAAAAGCATTTCTGTGATGTCAGATGACTGTGTTGATCACGTGACGGACATTTTTGATATTCTTAAATGTTTCACAAATATCGCATCGGCACAAGTGCATAACACAATTGTTGTGCAAAGTTTTTTACATGGACCAATTCATCGTGATCCATGGTACTTAAAAAGTGCTGGGGGCAGGTTTAATTTTTTCTTCTTAAGAAAATATTTTACGATAAATTAAAATTACCAACGTAAGAAGGGATCTTTTCCACAGTTTATCACGATTTATACAAAAACGGATAAACTACATACGATCCCCCAGCAAAATTCAGTTAGAAGACATATTTTTCTTTTAGATTCACGCAGAATATCTTCAATTTATCCTTGTCTTTCACTTGTGCCTGTCCAATATAAACACGATTTATAAATTCTAACTCTGTCTACGGATGTGAAAGGGGAGCGTTTCAAACATAATTGTTTGCTATTGCTTGAATATATGCATATCGGACATGCAAAAGGAATAGAGATATTAAAATAGCAAATGTTAAACATTATAACAGCACACTATAGTTTAAAAAACAAACCTTACTCTTGAATTAAACACAAATCCCCATAATAAATCTACATGCCGTGTAATAATTATAACACTTTCCCCGTCATGTCAGCTCAAGTATGCTGTGACATGACGTCATATTCTTTTATGACGTCATATCTAGGTAGTTCAGAGAAGTTACTACAGTTTGAACAGTTTGATATTTTACGGGCAGCCTTATCCTAGCTGCGCATCTAAAACGTGGCGACATCAGCTGAGATTTGCAGTGGATTTACATGCATTAACCAGGCAATCTTTAGAGAAAATAGGGATAAAATGTGAGACAAGGCATTTTTTACCCCTTTTACGAGAATATGAGGACAACATTTCGGAAAATAATGGAAAACTTAGACGATCTGCACCAGCTCCGTAGATCCAGACCAGGTATGTATTCGCATCTATACGTAGGTACATGTGTAGATCTACAGTATGTAGACATGCTTTTGTTAACATCAAAGAAAAAAACCCGAGTGTGTGTATGTTCTAGATGTACACAATCAGTGAAAAACTGTAATGCAGTGCCTTGTGTGTAACCCCCCCCCCCCCTACATAGTTGCACTCTGTCACGGTTTAGAATTATTAAATTTTAAATTCACTAAATATACACTGAGTTCAATTAGTTCATTTTCTTTGAGACTATATGACTTTTGTATAGTAATGGAAGTCATCAGTAACAAATTTAACCTAGGGTAAATTAAATAGATGTTTTTATTGTTTCAGTCAATGATTCACTAAGCCTAAACAAGTAGTTATGTTGTCTTTTGATAAACAAACATGCTGCACAATATAAAAAAAAATTATCAGTATCATTATGTTGAAAACATAGAACCTCTGCTTCAGATCTATGGTTGTTATTTCTAAATTAATGAAAAAAATATTCATTTTTTGTTTAGATTACATGTACATTAAAAATATTTTTATATATAATACTTTTATCATTGTAGCTGGCAAGAGTTTCAGGCTTAAAGAATGAATAAATAAAAAATGCATCAATTTCTCCATAGGCCAGGGTATGTAAACTTCTAGAGCATTTCACTTTATTTTTGTGCTATGTAATTTTGTTTTTCATTTTGGTAAAGGTGAAACTCAGAAGTGTTTTTTAAATATCCTTTCCATAATCTCAATGAATCACATTCCGATAAAAGTTTTGTAACACAACTTTTTCCAATTATATGAATAACATAAATTCACTACAGAATACAATGTAGCATGATTAATTTGTATTTTTTTTTTCAAAATATAATGCCATCTTATTCTACAATGTATATATAGTAATTCCATAGCATATTACTGCATGTATATTGTGTTGTAGGCCTAGCCATTACCAACAAAATTGGACCAATGGATCCATTCAAGCAGCAAGTCAAGCAGTTAATCCATCATTAAAGGAAAATGGTATGCTTAATATCAGCTATAAACCATACAGTATTCCTGGCAAGATTATTGAACTGTTTGAATAATAAAACTAACAGTAGAATTGCAATTAAGTATATACAAATGCATTCTATGTTAAATGTTTCAATGCATTTTTGTTTTATTTCACTTTTTAAAACACAAATTACTTTCAATAATGGTATTTCCTGTGTTTCTCATATTTTCAGAATTCATTTTATCTACATGAACATGAAGTGATGGAAATAATTTGCACCTGTCCAGTTTTCCTACAGTCTGTCTTTGGATTTGAAGAAAATGCTTATTAAATAAATTTTCTAGATAAATAATAATTTGACTTTTTCATATATTTACTGTACAGGTGTTGAAAATGCTATTAGAGTTGAAAATCTCAACTTACATACATATTTTGTGTGGAGGGTATCAATGTCAATCAAGAAAATATTTCCAGCATGTACCTTGTGTTCATTTGATTATCAATAATAGCATCAAAAACAGGAGACTAAGGATCCCTTTTATTGATTCAAATCAGGATAGTTGACCACAAATTGATTCGGGAAGGGGGGGGGGGTGGCAAGTTTTTCCATGTCAGATTTTTCATGTCAAAGAAAGAAAGATTAATGTTTATTTCCGATCAATAAGATGACAGACAGATTATTTATTTCCATTTTCAATGAAAAGTATAACAAGCAAAAAAGGGGGAGAGAGATCACTAGTCTGCGCCAGATTATTTATTTCCTCTCCAATCGTGGACAGATTATTTATTTTCAACATTTTCAAGGACAAATATTCATTTCTAAGATCTGCCAGCCCCCCCCCCCCACCCCCTCAGAATACGAATTAACAAATACAGGTGTATACCCCAATCCTTTCCGATTATAGTTCCTAACTAATAATTTGGTTTAAATCCTCTAAACAGTAGAAGGTCTAATCAAAAGCCTTCGTAGAATCCTGTTTTCGGAAAAAAACTTTTTTAACACAAGTGTATGTACCATAGACGTCTGAAACAAAGTGAAAGTGGGGGGGGGGGGTAATTGAAAGGGGGACTAAACAAACAATTAAAAGTAAACTCCAATTTTAAATGCCTATGTTATGTATATAATTTGCAAAATAGACGGTGGGGAGGGTAACCCCCCCCCCCCCCCAAGTTCCGACGCCTATGCGTACAATAAGAGAGGGGTATATAGATATCTAATTAATTATTGATGTGTGCTATATTTTTTATAACCATTTGTGTTTTACATAAATAGTGCAGCAATATTTAGACCCATTTGTGTGTAATACTATACACATCTTTGAGGAAATGCAATAGGTTTGAAAGACGTCTTTTAGCATACATGTATAGAGAACGAATACACAAAATAAAAGAAATGAGGAGGATTTTTATGCATACCGTTTTGATTTAGTAAAAATAGAGTTCAACACAGTCTGCATATATATTTTTTTTAAATTTACGAGGTAAACAAACTATATCAAGTACTAAAGAGTTATCTCCCATGCTGGGTCAATGATGCGTTTGAAAATTATAATTAAGATTGACTCTTTCAAGATTTCAATTTTCAATCAAAAAGTGCAAGGGCAAGGCGACGATCAAAGAAGTAGATTTTTAATTTTAAATTATTTATTTTATTGCATAGTTTTCAAAAAGTGATGCTCATTTCTTTGTAATCCTTTAGTTAATTTATAATTCCCGTTGAAATTAGGAAAATACCCTATTTTTCATACACTACTGTCTGTTTTAGCTGAATAACTTAAATATATCGAAAAACTAACTGAATGAGCATCACTTTTCAGAAAGTATAGATACATAAAGACAACCTAAAACATTGCGCAGTTAATTTTTTGTTTGTCTTGCCCTTGCACTTTTTGGTTAAATTTGACATTTCATTTTTTGACCTAAAATCGGAGCCCACGTGACCCCAGAGGGTCACATGATGTCAAAAAATACCGATGTGAAAAGCGATGAACATACTCTTCAAGATAACATACAGCTATTCTAACTAAGGTGTCTTGCTAAAAAATAAATCTGTTCAACATTAAATGTATCGGATTCAGTGAGTTTTTATAGAAAATGTTGCCTTAACTGTACTGCGTGTCTTCTAACTCAAGAATCACTTAAATTTCAAAGAAAAAAATATACACTTTGTGTATGATAACTAGAAAACAAGGTCAAATTTGTAACGATAAATAATTTTTATTACAGGTAAAACTGATTAAGTTTACCGGCTTTTCAATTTTTAGCTACCGTAGAATCATCAATTTTCGTCGGTAACAATTGTTTCTGCTTACACTTACAAAGCAATTTTAAAACATAAATTCGTTTATGTTAAAAATGCACTGATGATGAAAATCTAAATCTAATTTATGAACGTGAAACACACGAATACACAGCCATCTAAACAATTAAATTATCATTAGAATATGAAAAGATTATTTCCTAGTTAAGATTTTGATATCATTATTCCTGTAAATTACCTGTGAATATTTGTATATTACAGTTTGTAGATTCTTTGGATGATACATTGCAGTTGGTTTCCCCATCTTTTGGGAAAGGGTTAAAATTGAAATATGACAAAATTCCTATTTCAACTTCTGAGATCATTATTCTGTATATTACCTGGACATCCTTGGATATTACAGGGTACCGTCTCTTCCGATTCTCCGCTGCAGTCAGCCCCTCCGTACTTTGGGGAAGGGTTGGTACAACTTCTCTCTCTAGACTTGCCCCCGGAACCACATGTTAGTGAGCAAGTTGACCACTCTCCCCACGAGCTCCAACCACCATCAACCGCTGTAAAGATTAGATATTTTGTTGTATAACTATTTTTGTATCCGCATCTACTTGATTTGATAAATCACAAAATGTCTCTGGTTTTTTTAATATGATAATATCTTATGCATATAAATATTGGCAAAATCTAACTCATTTATTCTAAGTACATGTATAATTGATCGGAAAAACCAAACACCTCGGAATGGAATACTAAATACTTTAAGCTTCTGGTTTATCCTATGTTTAAAGACATTCGCAATACAATAGTACAGTGACTTTATTTCGACCCGTACATAAACGAGCCTTTACATGTAACACATCAATTTTGATAGATGTGTTGTATCTAGATGAATAAGGACTGAAATAAGAGTAAGATATAAAAAAATTCTGAAATTAAACATGCATAGTACGCTCTTGCATATTTGTAGCTGGCAAACATGTAAATACATCATTAGACTGAGAAGGGAGCATAATCGATAATTAAATTAAATTTTATATATTAACAAGTGCTTAAACTACGTATATAAATTTTATTTGAAGTAAAAAAAAGTCCACATGCAGTTACATATATATAATTATATACATGTACCTTGCTTTAAAAACAACAAGCAAAACATTTGGATAGTTTTGTTTCGTTTCGTTTCGGCAGGTTTCGTTTTGATTTCGTTTTGTTTTGTCTTGATTTCGTTTCGTTTCGGTAGGTTTCGTTTCGTTTTGGTAGATTTCGTTTCGTTTCGGCAGATGTCGTTTCGTTTCAGCTCGTTTCGTTTCTATTTCGTTTCGCAATTTATAGGTACCCCTTATAAACACGCAGTACAGTTAAGGCAACACAGAAAAAAAATATGGTAATGAGGTCATAATGAGGTCTGACGTCATGACAGTTGCTCCGCCCTGATTGAACCATATAAGGAAATAGAGCTCAAAATAACTATTTTCCGGTGTTTGCAAGGATTTGTAATAAACGGCAATATTTTCATGTTTAAATAAAAAATAATAAGTGATTTTCTCGTATATAAAATATCATGTCTTTAATATAAATCTCTTTTTAATGTGTCGTTTGGCTGCTTTCGGCTTCAGCCAAGCGCTTGCACTCGATGACATGGAATTGAATGTTGTTTACATCTAAAACGTGGCGACATCAGCTGAGATTTGCAGTGGATTTACATGCATTAACCAGGCAATCTTTAGAGAAAATAGGGATAAAATGTGAGACAAGGCTTTTTTTTACCCCTTTTACGAGAATATGAGGACAACATTTCGGAAAATAATGGAAAACTTAGACGATCTGCACCAGCTCCGTAGATCCAGACCAGGTATGTATTCGCATCTATACGTAGGTACATGTGTAGATCTACAGTATGTAGACATGCTTTTGTTAACATCAAAGAAAAAAACCCGAGTGTGTGTATGTTCTAGATGTACACAATCAGTGAAAAAATGTAATGCAGTGCCTTGTGTGTAACCCCCCCCCCCCCCTACATAGTTGCACTCTGTCACGGTTTAGAATTATTAAAATTTAAATTCACTAAATATACACTGAGTTCAATTGGTTCATTTTCTTTGATACTATATGACTTTTGTATAGTAATGGAAGTCATCAGTAACACACATTTAACCTTGGGTAAATTAAATAGATGTTTTTATTGTTTCAGTCAATGATTCACTAAGCCTAAACAAGTAGTTATGTTGTTTTTGATAAACAAACATGCTGCACAATATAAAAAAAAAATTATCAGTATCATTATGTTGAAAACATAGAACCTCTGCTTCAGATCTATGGTTGTTATTTCTAAATTAATGAAAAAAATATTCATTTTTTGTTTAGATTACATGTACATTAAAAATATTTTTATATATAATACTTTTATCATTGTAGCTGGCAAGAGTTTCAGGCTTAAAGAATGAATAAATAAAAAATGCATCAATTTCTCCATAGGCCAGGGTATGTAAACTTCTAGAGCATTTCACTTTATTTTTGTGCTATGTAATTTTGTTTTTCATTTTGGTAAAGGTGAAACTCAGAAGTGTTTTTTAAATATCCTTTCCATAATCTCAATGAATCACATTCCGATTAAAGTTTTGTAACACAACTTTTTCCAATTATATGAATAACATAAATTCACTACAGAATACAATGTAGCATGATTAATTTTGTATTTTTTTTTTTCAAAATATAATGCCATCTTATTCTACAATGTATATATAGTAATTCCATAGCATATTACTGCATGTATATTGTGTTGTAGGCCTAGCCATTACCAACAAAATTGGACCAATGGATCCATTCAAGCAGCAAGTCAAGCAGTTAATCCATCATTAAAGGAAAATGGTATGCTTAATATCAGCTATAAACCATACAGTATTCCTGGCAAGATTATTGAACTGTTTGAATAATAAAACTAACAGTAGAATTGCAATTAAGTATATACATATGCATTCTATGTTAAATGTTTCAATGCATTTTTGTTTTATTTCACTTTTTAAAACACAAATTACTTTCAATAATGGTATTTCCTGTGTTTCTCATATTTTCAGAATTCATTTTATCTACATGAACATGAAGTGATGGAAATAATTTGCACCTGTCCAGTTTTCCTACAGTCTGTCTTTGGATATGAAGAAAATGCTTATTAAATAAATTTTCTAGATAAATAATAATTTGACTTTTTCATATATTTACTGTACAGGTGTTGAAAATGCTATTAGAGTTGAAAATCTCAACTTACATACATATTTTGTGTGGAGGGTATCAATGTCAATCAAGAAAATATTTCCAGCATGTACCTTGTGTTCATTTGATTATCAATAATAGCATCAAAAACAGGAGACTAAGGATCCCTTTTATTGATTCAAATCAGGATAGTTGACCACAAATTGAATCGGGAAGGGGGGGGGGGGGGGTGGCAAGTTTTTCCATGTCAGATTTTTCATGTCAAAGAAAGAAAGATTAATGTTTATTTCCGATCAATAAGATGACAGACAGATTATTTATTTCCATTTTCAATGAAAAGTATAACAAGCAAAAAAAGGGGGAGGGAGATCACTAGTCTGCGCCAGATTATTTATTTCCTCTCCAATCGTGGACAGATTATTTATTTTCAACATTTTCAAGGACAAATATTCATTTCTAAGATCTGCCAGCCCCCCCCCCCCCCCCACCCCCTCAGAATACAGAATTAACAAATACAGGTGTATACCCCAATCCTTTCCAATTATAGTTCCTAACTAATAATTTGGTTTAAATCCTCTAAACAGTAGAAGGTCTAATTAAAAGCCATCGTAGAATCTTGTTTGCGGAAAAAAAACTTTTTTAACACAAGTGTATGTACCATAGACGTCTGAAACAAAGTGAAAGTGGGGTTGGGTAATTGAAAGGGGGACTAAACAAACAATTAAAAGTAAACTCCAATCTTAAATGCCTATGTTATGTATATAATTTGCAAAATAGACGGTGGGGAGGGTAAGCCCCCCCCCCCCCACGAGTTCCGACGCCTATGCGTACAGTAAGAGAGGGGTATATAGATATCTAATTAATTATTGATGTGTGCTCTATTTTTTATAACCATTTGTGTTTTACATAAATAGTGCGGCAATATTTAGACCTATTTGTGTTTAATCCTTTACCCACATCTATGAGGAAATGTGAGAGGTTTGAAAGACGTCTTTTGGCATACATGTATAGAGAACGAATACACAAAATAAAAAAAAATGAGAAAGATTTTTATGCATACCGTTTTGATTTAGTAAAAATAGAGTTCAACCCAGTCTGCATATATTTTTTTTTAAATTTACGAGGTAAACAAACTATATCAAGTACTAAAGAGTTATCTCCCATGCTGGGTCAATGATGCGTTTGAAAATTATAATTAGATTGACTCTTTCAAGATTTCAATTTTCAATCAAAAAATGCAAGGGCAAGGCGACGATCAAAGAAGTAGGTTTTTAATTTTAAATTATTATAATTTATTGCATAGTTTTCAAAAAGTGATGCTCATTTCTTTGTAATCCTTTAGTTAATTTATAATTCCCGTTGAAATTAGGAAAATACCCTATTTTTCATACACTACTGTCTGTTTTAGCTGAATAACTTAAATATATCGAAAAACTAACTGAATGAGCATCACTTTTTAGAAAGTATAGATACATAAGGACAACCTAAAGCATTGCGCAGTTAATTTTTTGTTTGTCTTGCCCTTGCACTTTTTGGTTAAATTTGACATTTCATTTTTCGACCTAAAATCGGAGCCCACGTGACCCCAGAGGGTCACATGATGTCAAAAAATACCGATGTGAAAAGCGATGAACATACTCTTCAAGATAACATACAGCTATTCTAACTAAGGTGTCTTGCTAAAAAATAAATCTGTTCAACATTAAATGTATCGGATTCAGTGAGTTTTTATAGAAAATGTTGCCTTAACTGTACTACGTGTCTTTTAACTCAAGAATCACTTAAATTTCAAAGAAAAATATACACTTTGTGTATGATAACTAGAAAACAAGGTCAAATTTGTAACGATAAATAATTTTTATTACAGGTAAAACTGATTAAGTTTACCGGCTTTTCAATTTTTAGCTACCGTAGAATAATCAATTTTCGTCGGTAACAATTGTTCGTGCTTACACTTACAAAGCAATTTTAAAACATAAATTCGTTTATGTTAAAAATGCACTGATGACGAAAATCTAAATCTAATTTATGAACGTGAAACACACGAATACACAGCCATCTAAACAATTAAATTATCATTAGAATATGAAAAGATTATTTCCTAGTTAAGATTTTGATATCATTATTCCTGTAAATTACCTGTGAATATTTGTATATTACAGCTTGTAGATTCTTTGGATGATACATTGCAGTTGGTTTCCCCATCTTTTGGGAAAGGGTTAAAATTGAAATATGACAAAATTCCTATTTCAACTTCTGAGATCATTATTCTGTATATTACCTGGACATCCTTGGATATTACAGGGTACCGTCTCTTCCGATTCTCCGCTGCAGTCAGTCCCTCCGTTTTGTGGGGAAGGGTTGGTACAACTTCTCTCTCTAGACTTGCCCCCGGAACCACATGTTAGTGAGCAGGTTGACCACTCTCCCCACGAGCTCCAACCACCATCAACCGCTGTAAAGATTAGATATTTTGTTGCATAATTATTTTCGTATCCGCATCTACTTGATTTGATAAATCACTAAATGTCCCTGGTTTTTTTTTATATGATAACATCTTATGCATATAAATATTGGAAAAATCTAACTCATTTATTCTAAGTTCACATGACAAGTTATGCGTATAATATCGCACAGGGTTTATATGAAAAAAAAATCTCTTCATTAAAACAGATTAAAATCAGTCCAGAATTGAAGGTTTTCATTGTGGAATGCAACATTAAACAATACAAAGTTAACACTCCTGAAATTATAACTTTAAGGAATACAATATTTTCCTGACGAAATTGTGATGTTTATCTAAAAAACTGCTAAGAGAAGCGCTTGTAGTCGGATTGAACGGATATTTGCACGTAGAAAAAAGTAGAAGTTACTTTGATATTAAAAATGAGTGAAAGTTCCCCATTCCAATTCATGGAACATGAAAACCAATGACCACTTAATTGAAACTAAAAATAATAAAATGTATTGCCATCTGCTTTGAAAATTACAGAATACATGTACTATAATATTTTTTAAAAGTAAAATATTAATGAGTAGTTCAAACATGTATGTTGCTGTGAAAAGCACACAGTAAGTGCGCTGGTGTTTTGAACATAGATAAGTACATTTATTTTATATTTGTCTATAATAAACTCCCATGCTATTTTTCATAGATTCCAGTTTTTGAATGCTCCTTTTTTTTCAGAAGAACAATTATTGCACGTCATTTTATATCGATCAAAGAGGGACAAGAAGCGTTTGTTTGAAAAGAAGGTAAAGATGTAGCAGGCGAACACGTTGCTATCTATTCAACGATTTTTTAGTTGTTTGTGGAATGATGTAATGTAAACATTAGAGGAAATTATCGGTCAGTAATCAAAACGACTTGCATTTCGCAGGTAGACACATTTTTCTATAGCGCTTAATGAAGTATGCATACGTTACAAATTTGTGTGCTTTACACTACAATTAATGCTTGAATAAGCTCACCACAACGCCTCTGCATACTGTGGGTGAGTCGTCGGAAGAAGATTTGCCTATATCAAGCCCATTCCTTGATGAGTGTTACTAAAAAAGCCACACGATTCCTATGGATTACTTGGTGCGCTAAAATAAGTTGAATGTTCTACCAGAGCAGCTGAATAAAAATAAATTCAGTTATAAAAACGATGCCCTTTTTTGCACTTCTGTTTTCCGTTGATTTCTCGTAGTAAGCCTTAACAGTGCTGCGTTCTAACTCAGGAATCACTTAAATTTCAAAGAAACAAATATACACTTTGTGTATGATAACTAGAAAACAGGTTCAAATTTGTAACGATAAATAAATTTTAATACAGGTAAAACTGATTAAGTTTACCGGCTTTTCAGTTTCTAGCTACCGTGGAATCATCAATTTTCGTCGGTAACAATAGTTCGTGATTTTGGGTGCTTACATTACACGTTTATGCTAAAAACACATTGATGACGACAATCTCAATCTAATTTATGAACGTGAAACAGACGAATACACACCCATCTTAACAGTTAAAATATCATGAGAATATGAAAAGATTATTTCCTAGTTAAGATTTTGATATCAATTTTCCTGTACATTACCAGTGAAACTTTGTATATGAGAGCTTATAGATTCTTTGGATGATACATTGCAGTTGGTTTCCCCATCTTTTGGGAAAAGGTTAAAACTCATTCATTCTAAGTTCACAAGACAAGTTATGCGAAAAATATCGCTCTGGATTTTTATGAAAAAAATCTCTTCATTAAAACATATTAAAATCAGTCCAAAATTGAAGGTTTTCACTGTGGAATGCAGCATTGAACAATACAAAGTTAACGCTCCTGAAATTTTAGCTTTAAAGAATACAATTTTTTCCTGACTAAATTGAGATGGTTATCTAAAAAACTGCTTAAAGAAGCGTTTGTATTCGGATTGAAGGGATATTTGCACGTAGAAAAAAGTAGCAGTTACTCTGATGTTAAAAATGAGTGAAAGTTCCCCATTCCAATTCATGGAACATGAAAACCAATGACCACTTAATTGAAACTAAAAATATTAAAATGTATAGCCATCTGCTATAAAAATTACTGTAAACTATAATATTTTTAAAAAGTAAAAAAAGTTAATATCAATGAGTAGTACAAACACTTTTGTTGCTGTGAAAAGCACACAGTAAGTGCGCTGGTGTTCTGAACATAGATAAGTACATGAATTGCAAACATGTCTATACTAAACCCCCATGCAATTTTTCATACATTCCAATTTTTGAATGCTCCTTGCTTCAGAAGAACGATTTTTGCACTTCATTTAATATCGATCAAAGAGGGACCAGAACCGTTTGTTTGAATTGAAATAAAGATGTAGCAGGCGAACACGTTGCTATCTATTCAACGATTTGTCACACAAGACGAAAGACCACCTTTAAGCAATCACTTAATTGTAGCTTAATGGTGACTTAATGGTGCTTTAAGAAGTTAACTCCTTAAAGCCACCATTAAGCTGCAACTTGCAGGTGCTTAATGTTTAAACTTCATTAAGCCACCATTAAGGCACTTTTAAGCCGAGCTTTATGGTTACTTAATGGTCAAACCTCAATTAACTTTTACGCATTTTATTTCGAATCTTTGATCTAATTTTTTAAGTTATTTCAATGTCATTTACGCAATTTTTTTTGGTGATCTTTAACTTTGTCTCCTTTGTCATTTTTATACAACATTTCTTTCACCATGCAAAATGTTTAGTTTTTAAAGTTTGACTTTTACATTATGAATAATTTGTATTAATTCGCTATTATTCTTATATAATACAGCGGTAAGTATCTGTCAAAATCTAATCGGTCTTCAATGATTGATATTTCAAAATCAATTTTCAGAAGAACAGCAGATCAGATTAAACGTGACATCCGACCAGATTTATACACATTGGGAAACGGGGTAAGATTAACAGTGTACAGTACCGACTGGTTAAACAATAGACCTTAATTAGGTGTCCACCGTCCCCGGTCAACTAACAGGAAACTATACATACACAACGTACACTAACAAACTTTGATGATCAATTATTTTTTACAAAATTTAAATTTAACGCAAGCATATAACAAATTAAAAATTATGATTCTTTGTAAAAGGACAATTATTTCGATACCCGTTATGATTCAGAAAGAATTTTAACTGAATATGATATTCCCAAAAAAGTTTTTGTAAACATAACCAGGTAACTCGTAAACGAGTATTGTCACTAGGCCTAATTTTTAGACAAAAAACCGTTAATATCCGCAGAATTTCTAAAATAAAATTTTCATTTTCCCGATGATAGATTTTTTGTTTTATCCAGTTTAATTTCAATCACGATTTAATGCTTGCATGTATAATTCTTCGAATAACAAAGCGAAGAGTTCATGACAATTTCAAAGCCGAATTTAATGGTTTAAAAATATTAATGTGATATAAGCCTTTTTTAAAAAAGATCCATAAATAATACTTTTTTATGCTTTGATTAATAAATCAATTCAAGACTTTGGAAACTTTCAACAAAATAATTACTTTTACAAGTCAAAAACAAACTGTGCAAAATATATATTTAATATTTTCGCTTATACATAAGGAGCGGTGTTAGACTAATGGTTAAGACACTGGGCACCTAATTGAAAGGTCATGAGTTCGCGCCCCGTGTGAGGGTTTTTTTTTTCATTTTGAATTTTATTCTTTTTCTTATTTTTACCAAATCAAGATATATGCGAACTCGACATTTATAATTTGTGAGGACAAATCACTATACATGTAATAATAATTTTTCACCCATAAAAACAGTAATATCGACTGTGTAATATTGGCTTAATGGTGGCTTAATGGTAGCTTAATGGTAGCTTAAAGGAGTTTGGACATTAAGCACCTGTAGGTCTACCTTAATGGTTGGTTAATGGTAACTTAATGGTGGTCTAAAAGCTACCATTAAGGACTTGTAAGCCACCATTAAGCTACCATTAAGCTACGCATGCGAGTTAAGGCTACATATGGAAATTTCTATACAAAATATCTAATTAAATTCCATAATTGCTCCAACTACCGCACAGAAAATGCTAGGACTTGTTATCTAATACATTCTTGGTACCCACGACATGCGATAACCAGTACACATTATGACGTCATATTATGACGTCATCGACCTGTACTACACAAGTTTATAAGAAACATCAACAAAATCGCTTCGGCGCAAGGGCATACCTTACTTTGTTTTACAGAAACAAGGTATCAAAAGACGCAGGGTATTGCAAGGATTTAAGATATTGCTGCACAAATGTCGGCAGTGCAATTGGTTACTTACTATTCGTGCAGTTATAAGTTTCAGATGGATAAAAATTAACTGTCCAGGGTAAGTTTCCTAAATTTTTTATCAATTGAGAAAGTGCATAGGATTTGTGCAGCAATTTTATTAGTTTTAAGAATATTCACCTTAATATTATACATTGTTTATTTTAAATTAGATAGGATAGGCCCTTGCGCCGAGGTGATTTTGTCTATATGATTTAATACCTTGAATGGGAGAGATCAATGACGTCATAATATGACGTCATAATGTGCACTTGCATTAATAAACTGTGGGTACTGAGTATGTATCAGAAAATCAATTTGAACCTTCTCTGTACATAAAATATACAAATTATGAATTTTCATTAGCTTATTTGCATAAAAATATCCATATTTAGCCTTAACTCACTTTCGTACATTTAAGCACCCATTAAGGACTTTGAGATGGCTTAATGGTGGTGTAAATGTTACTTAAGGGTGCTTAATGGTTTCTTAAAGAAAATCATTAAACCACCATTAAGGACCTATAAGCCACCATTAAACCAGGCTTAAAATGGTGTGTTTCATCTTGTGTCAGTTGTTTGTGGTATGATGCACTGTGAACATTAGAGTAAATTATCGGTGAGTAATCACACAGACTTCCATTTCCCAAGTAGATAAAGTATGCCTACGTTACAAATTTGTGTGCTTTAATGAACTACAATTTATGCTTGAATGACCTCACCACAACGCTTCTGCTTACTGTGGGTAAGTCGCCGGAAGAAGATTTGCCTAAATCAAGCCCATTCCTCGATGAGCACTACTGAAAGCGCCTCACGGTTCCTATGGATTACTGGGTGCGCTAAAATAACTTGCTGTAGCTTTTTCCAAGCATGTTCTACCGGATTCAAATCAGGCAAAAGACTTGGTCAGTCCATTTGATTGGTTGTTTTATTTTCCAGGTAGTCTGTTATGATGCAAGCCCTGTGAAGTCTACAATTATCGTCAATTACAATTTATTCATCACCGATAGCACCTACATACGGCCTGACAATAGGGTACAGCATCTCATCTCGGTATCTTATCCTGTAAGATTTCGTGTAAAATAACTCACAGTTCGGTTTTTCCTGATTATACTGAAACCACACCAAAACCATCACAGAGCCACCCCAAAACAATCTTGCTAAGCAACACAGCATAACGTTCACCGGTCGTACACCAAACTCTAGTCACCCCAGTGACGCAGCTGCCTATTGCCATGGTTTCATGCTAATAAATTGGCTCAAGGGTGATAGTTTTTCACATGTAGATATATATTGCTTTTTAACTATTTTGCTGTTATATTTTCTTCAATCATATTTCAAAATCTCTTATAAATGTCTTCTAACTAAGGAATCACTTAAATTTCAAAGAAAAAAATATACACTTTGTGTATGATAACTAAAAAACAAGGTCAAATTTGTAACGATAAATAATTTTTAATACAGGTAAAACTGATTAGGTTTACCGGCTTTTCAGTTTCTAGCTTCCGTGGAATCATCAATTTTCGTCGGTAACAATTCTTCGTGAAGTCTGGTGCCTACATTTACACGTTTATGCTAAAACATATTTATGACGACAATCTAAATCTAATTTATGAACTTGAAACACACGAATACACAGCCATCTTACAGTTGAATTATCATTAGAATATGAAAAGATTATTTCCTAGTTAAGATTTTTTTATCATATTCCTGTAAATCACCTGTGAACATTTGTATTTTACAACCTATAGATTCTTTGTATGATACATTGCAGTTGGTTTCCCCATCTTTTCGGAAAGGTTTAAAATTGAAATGTGAAAAAAATCCTATTTCAACTTCTGAGATCATTATTCTGTAAATTACCTGGGCATCCTTGGGTATTACAGGGTACCGTCTCTTCCGATTCTCCGCTGCAGTCAGCCCCTCCGTATTGTGGGGAAGGGTTGGTACAACTTCTCTCTCTAGACTTGCCCCCGGAACCACATGTTAGTGAGCAGGTTGACCACTCTCCCCACGAGCTCCAACCACCATCAACCGCTGTAAAGATTAGATATGTTGTTGCATTATTATTTTCGTACCCGCATCTACTTGATTTTATATATTGTTTTATATATATATATATAATAATATATTATGCATATAAATATTGGAAAAATCTAACTCATTTATTCTAAGTTCACATGACAAGTTATTCGTATAATATCGCAGTGGGTTTATATGGTAAAATTCTCTTTATCAAAACAGATTAAAATCAATAGAACATTGAACATTTTCACTGTGGAATGCAGCATCAAACAATACAAAGTTAACGCTCCTGAAATTTTAGCTTTAATGAATACAATATTTTCCTGACGAAATTAAATGATTGTATCTTGTTTTTTTTATATAATAATATCTTATGCATATAAATATTGGAAAAATCTAACTCATTTATTCTGAGTTTACGTGACAAGTTACTGTAAACGTATAACATTTGGCTGTGAATTCTTTTTAGCGCTTTTGGCGGAAAGCAGACTCCGCTAAATCAAGTACATCGCTAAGTGCTTTGTGTATAAAGGTTTACGTAACGCACATTCAAAAAGCGCTTAATCAAATCTATGCCAACTTGTTGAAAATTTAATTTCCGCCAAATATCGTACACACCAAATATATTATGTTTACAGTATGCAAAAAAATATTTCTCTGGATTTATATGAAAAAAAAAATCTCATCATAAAAACAGATTAAAATCAATCGAAAATTGATGGTTCAATATCTATACTTTTGTTATTGCTCGGTTATCCCTATGATCATCATATTTTTAAAATATACAAATTAACGGCATTAAAATAATTGATTGTGTTTGTAAAAGATATGCAATTCTGACCGAAATAAATGTTCATATAAATCAGAATGGGGAATAAACAGTTTATCTTAGTATATTTCAGTAATGAAAAATATATTCTTACTACTTTTTCTTGTATTTCAAAGTTTATTTGGCAATTTTTAGTTAACTTTTATTTTCCAACATTTATGAAAAAGTAAATTTCATGTAATAAAACTGGAACTGAAGACTTTCTTAACTGAAAATCAAAATCGAACAATAAATCATTGACTTCAAAATAATAAGGTAAAAGCTTTGCTTCGTTTTTTTTTTTTTTTTAAAAAACAAACTTGTTTTTAAAATTTGAGATCAATAACATCTGTTTCGGACAAAATGCAATCAATGACATAATGTAATTCAAGTTTATTTGATTTTTTCACTTATCGATTATTCAATTTAGTAGACATAAAACATAAAACTCACCCCCCCCCCCTAAAAAAGACGAAACAAATGTACAAAAAATGTCGGAAATGCTGAGCATAATTACTGAAATTTCATAAATGAAGTACACAATTTCAAATCAGTCCTTCTATATAACAAGCTGTTGATCGAAGAAAAGAAATGCTAGAATGCTGAATATATCGGTAATTCCGAAGATTGATGTAGGAAATTATTTAGATCGCTGTTGGTCAAATATGTTTACACCCCCTCCCAGAATGGAGTTTTTAGCGCCTAAATGCGTTGTTCCTCATACAACCCTTTACATAAATACAGTCACGAGTTAACTGTCCATTCACAAGGTGGATATCAAATGGTGTTTTTTTCTGTGTATAACGTAAACATAACCGGTGGAAGAATCACATCAGACCAAATCGTTGTCCTGTTATGGAAAGTTTACTCCCCTATTCAGTATTCTTAATCCTATCATGTCTAATGTATGCAGTGTTGACAAACTTGAATCTATAGAGTACACACATATATATACAGTGGACCTTCAGATATCCGGACTCCAGATATCCCGATGCTTCAGTATCCGGACGATTTTTCATTGGAACGGAATTTTTTAATATTATTTTGTCTTGTTTAACTGGTGATTCAGATATCCGGACGCTTCACATATCCGGACAAATTGACTGGGAACCAAAGCATCCGGATAAATGAGACTCCACTGTATATTCAAAAATACATACGTATGTGATTTTCAAGCGGATAAGTGAATATTTCGTAATATACTGACAATATAAAGGTACTCAAGGAAGGTCAAAAATATTCCTAAGGAAATATTTATCCCCCTATCAAACTTATTACGCTCCGAAGCCAAGGAGAGAGGAAGGGGGATGGGGTATAGTGTTTTACCCTTGTGTGTTTGTCCGTCTGTCTAGTTGTTTGTGTGTAGTTCGTAGGTTTTGATCACAGTTTTCGCAGCAACTCTTCATCACAGGTGCTTGAAATTTTCGCACATTCTCTACTGAGGCATGCTACATGTATATCGGTGGATCCATTAAAAAAATATTTGATGTTAACTGCCTGTTAATCCGTGTGTTTGTCATACAACACATAACACATTTTCGTCGCATTTTTTTCCAGCAACTACTTATATTGCAGAAGCTTGAAATTTTAGCACATACTTTGTAGTGGCATGCCATATGATGGGATTTATTTTGGTATGAATATGATGTCAACTTCATATTTGTCCGTGCATCTGACCATAACTGAACTTGTGTAAATTGTAACTAACATATCAGTGTATTTTCACATCAGAGCAGGGTATTACTACTAGCCTCCATTGGCTGACAGACTTGTGTTTTTCTAACCCTGCTTTTAATATCAATAATATCAAACAAGTATGAAGTATACTTGCATTGAATCTCCCTTATATATATACATGTTCTTTTTTTTTCTTTTTTTTTTAATCAATACATACGAGTAAGTGCAACATGCACATTTTTACGAATATTGGAAACGTAGAGCAGATCTGTAGCGTTATGGTTTTATATATATTTGTCTTTGAACATAACGCTACAGATCCCGTAATGCAAAAAAGGTGCAATTTACGGCGCAGTAGTTTTTGCACTATTGGAAACGTTGACTCGATAACGAAATCATTCTAACTGTGTATATATCTATGTATTTTTTATTGCTGTATAAGGCGGAAACAATAAGGTTGTATTTTTACGAATTTCAATTTAAATCGAACAAGAAATAAAATAAAACAAAACTTTATTATATGAACAAAACCTCTTTTCTCTTCAGTTGTATGAGTATGAATTAACCTTAATCTTTTTTTTTGTATTTTTATCCTTTCCTTCCGTCGTTTTCTGCACTCATTTTTTAAAATTTATTTTCATAAAATATTCATTTATCGAATTTGATAAATTTTGGATCAAGGGTCTCATCTCACACAAGTTTGGGGGATACCTACATCACCAACCCAGTGGTTCAAGTGGTGAGCTTATTTAGTGTAAAAAAGACCTTCTTAACTTGTCTCGCATCCCAAGTTTTGTCTAAAAAATCGACCGACTCGGACATATTAAAGCGAGGAAAAATATTCTTTTTTTGCGAAATATATTAGAATGGAATGGAAAAATATATTATTTCTCATCAAAACATCATCAAAACTTTACGAGGTATCAGAACATTAAACGGCAAAAAACGCAATGTGAGTTAAAGTGCATGATTGTGTGGTAAAGGTTTATGCGTAAAAATGCGTGATTGTGGGGCAACGGTATATGCGTTAAAATGCGTGACTGTGGGGAAGGGGGTTAAAGACAGATTAGGTTGTAAAGTTTCCCCTATATACGAAACAAATCTTTAAGTTGGTTGGTATTATACACATATGATTATTAGGTCAGTTACGGTACGTCGGTACACGGCGGGTGTGACCGGTCGGCAGGGGATGCTCACTCCTCAATGGCACCTGATCCCACATCTGATGTTTCAGAGGTCCGTGTTTGCTCTGCTCTTATTTTGTAGATTCTTTAATGGACGTTGAGATTGAATACTGTTCGTTATCTCCATATCCTTCTTAGCATTTGAGTTTCTGTTTATTTTATTAAAATCACTCTAGGAAAATAATTATATGTTACGTTTAATATGATTATGTGTCATATCTAGGTTTTTTATGTTAGACATGACTAGTACAACATGTCGTATAAGTGGAAATTATAGCGAGACGCAAATTTGTCGATTTTTTCCTTAAAACTGGTAATTGATTTTTTCATTAAAGGAGTTAATACAATGTTAATACGTTGATAAAGGATACTTATTTCAACGAATGTTTAATTCAGAGTAAAAATGTTCGAAAGCAATACCCAATAAATAAAATTGCAAATTTTTATCTGGATTAAAGTTGTGATGTTTTCAGTAATACAAATCGAAAATTGCTAATTTTCTTAAATTTAAGGATAAAGTTTACAAAGTGCAAAGATGTGTTCATAAAACGCGACCTAGAATTACTAATTCCAATAATTTCCGAACTAAACAAGTTTTTTTTTCTTAATTTTGTTTGAAATGCCATTGCAATAAATTAGTCTTGGTATTATACAGAATATTTGAGAACATTTGTAGTTGAAATTTGAGTCTGAGAACCTCTGAATGAAACTTGAAAAAAAACAAACAATTTAAACCATTTGCTAGGCAATCAAACGGTAATTTTCTTATTCGTATAGCAATATATCACTATTTTTATGACACAAAATTTTCCCATCTCTTAATCCTGAATTTTCAGAAGAAAAATATTTGTTGGAAATCACTTGGCTTTTTCATTACTTTAATTTTATTTTGTCATATGAAAAGTATGACGTAATCTAAACTTTATATATATTGCTTAAGAAATGGTAGCCTTCATGAGAAAAAAAAGATGAAAAGGTTTGTTTTACTCGCTTAACTACCTTCAACCAAAAGCATGAGCTAAAGGTGACTTCTAATCTAAATTAGAAGTTTGATTGAAAGTGTGATGCTTTGGTGATAGGTGGTAATATTTCAAGACAGATTTTCCCAATGCATCTCCCTATTTTAGTTTTAAATTGTGCTAATGCGAAAATTGGTTGATAGAACGCCAATTTGTGTCGCCATTTATTTTTTATGCTGATACTTTAAAATTTTTGACTAAAAGGTTTCTCGAATTGGATCGTTAATCTGACTATTCCATGTGTTTAAGGTAGGATTCTTCTCGCACAAAAATGTATTTCTTGTATTTAAAAATTAATGAAATTTTCACAGAATCACGAAGACA